CAAAATTTCTCAAAAAGCGTGGATAATTAGCCTTTAATTTTTGAATTTTGTGACTTTTTTTTCGCCTGGAAATAAAAATTGTTGAAATGTTTACCATGGTCCGTAATACCCACTGGGAGTCCAATTGGTTGGATGTAACAATTCAATTTGTCTTTAAACGACCAATTAGTCGATTTACAACTTGCACCGATTTCAATAATTCAAGCCTGCCAATAACATTTATGGCAATATATAATGATCAGATATGTTTCCAAACGGCATTATATGACCCCCGAGATATATCTCCTAAAATCTCAAGCTTTTTCGACACCGGGTCCCGAAACCTCCAAAATTTCTCAAAAAGCGTGGATATTAGCCTTCAATTTTGGGATTTTTTGACTTTTTTTCGCACGGAATAAAAATTGCCGAAATGTTTAACATGGTCCCTAATACCCTCTGAGAGTCCAATTGGAAGGGTGAAACCATCCAATTCGCTTTTAAACGACCAATTTACCAGTTTATAACTTGCATCGGTTTCATTAATTCAAGCCTATAACGAACATCTATGACAACAACTAATGATCATATATGGTTCCAAACGGAATTATATGACTCCGAGATGTATCCCAAATAATTTCAAGACTTTTCGGCAACGGGCCGCGAAACCTTCAAAATTTCTCAAAAAGCGTGGATATTAGCCTTTAATTTTTGAATTTTGTGACTTTATTTCGCCCGGAAATAAAAATTGTTGAAATGTTTACCATGGTCCGTAATACCCACTGGGAGTCCAATTGGTTGGATGTAATAATTCAATTTGTCTTTAAACGACCAATTTGTCGATTTACAACTTGCACCGATTTCAATAATTCAAGCCTGCCAATAACATTTATGACAATATATAATGATCAGATATGTTTCCAAACGGCATTATATGACCCCCGAGATGTATCTCCTAAAATCTCATACTTTTTCGACACCGGGTCCCGAAACCTCCAAAATTTCTCAAAAAGCGTGGATATTAGCCTTCAATTTTGGGATTTTTTGACTTTTGTTCGCACGGAATAAAAATTGCCGAAATGTTTAACATGGTCCCTAATACCCTCTGGGGGTCCAATTGGAAGGGTGAAACTATCCAATTCGCTTTTAAACGACCAATTTACCAGTTTATAACTTGCATTGATTTCATTAATTCATGCCTATGACGAACATTTATGACAACAATAAATGATCATATATGGTTCCAAACGGAATTATATGACTCCGAGATGTATCCTAAAGAATTACAAGACTTTTCGGCAACGGGCCGCGAAACCTCTAAAATTTCTCAAAAAGCATGGATATTAGCCTTTAATTTTTGAATTTTTTTACTTTATTTTCGCCCGGAAATAAAAAGTGTTGAAATGTTTACCATGGTCCGTAATACCCTCTGGGAGTCCAATTGGTTGGATGGAACCATTCAATTTGCCTTTAAACGACCAATTTGTCGATTTACAACTTGCACCGATTTCAATAATTCAAGCCTACCAATAACATTTATGACAACATATAATGATCAGATATGGTTCCAAACGGCATTATATAACCCCCGAGATGTATCTCCTAAAATCTCAAGCTTTTTCGACATCGGGTCCCGAAACCTCCAAAATTTCTCAAAAAGCGTGGATATTAGCCTTCAATTTTGGGATTTTTTGACTTTTGTTCGCACGGAATAAAAATTGCCGAAATGTTTAACATGGTCCCTAATACCCTCTGGGGGTCCAATTGGAAGGGTGAAACTATCCAATTCGCTTTTAAACGACCAATTTACCAGTTTATAACTTGCATCGATTTCATTAATTCAAGCCTATGACAACAAATAATGATCATATATGGTTCCAAACGGAATTATATGACTCCGAGATGTATCCCAAACAATGTCAAGACTTTTTTGCAACGGGCCGCGAAACCTTCAAAATTTCTCAAAAAGCGTGGATAATTAGCCTTTAATTTTTGAATTTTGTGACTTTTTTTTCGCCTGGAAATAAAAATTGTTGAAATGTTTACCATGGTCCGTAATACCCACTGGGAGTCCAATTGGTTGGATGTAACAATTCAATTTGTCTTTAAACGACCAATTAGTCGATTTACAACTTGCACCGATTTCAATAATTCAAGCCTACCAATAACATTTATGACAACATATAATGATCAGATATGGTTTCAAACGGCATTATATGACCCCTGAGATGTATCTCCTAAAATCTCAAGCTTTTTCGACAGCGGGTCCCGAAACCTCCAAAATTTCTCAAAAAGCGTGGATATTAGCCTTCAATTTTGGGATTTTTTGACTTTTTTTCGCACGGAAATAAAAATTGCTGAAATGTTTAACATGGTCCCTAATATCCTCTGGGAGTCCAATTGGAAGGGTGAAACCATCCAATTTGCTTTTTAAACGACCAATTTACCAGTTTATAATTTGCATCGATTTCATTAATTCAAGCCTATGACGAAGATTTATGACAACAAATAATGATCATATATGGTTCCAAACGGAATTATATGACTCCGAGATGTATCCCAAAGAATTTCAAGACTTTTCTGAAACGTGCCGCGAAACCTCCAAAATTTCTCAAAAACGTGGATATTAGCCTTTAATTTTTGAATTTTTTGACTTTTTTTTCGTCCGGAAACAAAAATTGTTGAAATGTTTACCATGGTCCGTAATACACTCCGAGAGTCCAATTGGGTGTGTGGAACCATCCAATTTGCTTTTAAACGGCCAATTTACCGGTTTACAACTTGCACCGATTTATCGTTTTACAACGACCAATTTAATTAACTTGCACCGAACCCGACTTGAATTGAAATTGATCCAAACCCTTGTTAACCCGTCAAAACCCGAATTTAACCCGACTTGTTAATAATTTGACCTGATTTCAACCCGACCCGTTCCTAACCTGGCCCGAATTTAACCTAACCTGTTAGAAACCCGACCCGAAATCAATCCGACTTGTTATTGACCTGACCCAAATTCAACCCGACTTGTTATTGACCCGACCCGAATTTTACCAGACCTATTACTTACCCGACCCAAAAATTCAACATAATCTGTTACTAACCGACTCGAAATTAACACGATTTTTTATTGACCCGACCTAAATTCAACCCAAATTGTTCCTGACTTGGTTTCAAATCACCTTAAATGCAATTTAGACCACCTTATTATTGATGATCAAAGCATTGTGTCTAGGGAGACGAAGTCGGTCCATGCCAGCAAAAGATAGGAGTATCATCCTCACATTTAAGAGTTAAATATAGTATATATTTGTTGTATGGTCAAAGAAGTTAATTATTTTCCTAAATATAGACTATACTTCCGTATTACATTGTCATATATATTATAGTTAAAGGAAATAATTAGCTTGATAAAAATGATAATTATTTATTTATAATTAGTTGAACCCGAACATGACCTGTCTTGGAAAATACCCGACCTGATTATAACCTACAAATTATTGGCTTGAACATAACCCAACTTGAATCCGAGAATGACCCGACTTGGAAATAACCCAACCTGATTATAACCCGCAAATTATTGACTTGAATCGAACTTGACTTGAACTCGAAAATGACCCGACTTGAAAGTGACCCGACCTAATTATAATCCGAAAATTATTGCCTTGAACCAAACCCGACTCAAACCTGAGAATGACCCGACCTGATTCTAACCTGTAGATTATTGACTTGAACCGAACCCGACTCGAACCCGAGAATTACCTTAACCCGTGAAAACTTGAATTAAACCCGACCTATTGTTCACCCGACCCAAATGTAACCCGACCTGTTATTAACCCGACCCAAACCTCGATAAGAGGTATGACCGGACGTGACCCGACCCAAGTATGACCCACCCCTAACCCGACCCGCATAGTTTATGAAATTAATCGAATTGACCTTACCCGAGTTGAACCGACCCACTTATACCCGACCTAAACCCGACCCGTTTAGCTGAATGGACGGCTGTATTAATTGTAATTAACATTCATTTTTACAAGTGTGTTGGACTTCTAAATATGCAATTACCAATTATGTGTAAAACATGTGAATTGGTAGGCTAGGTGGCTTTTAGGAGTGTTGCAGCTCAAGTTGCATGATGCATTTAGTCCCTGTTTTGCATTTTAACTATTGTGTGTTTAATTGTCGTATTCTTAATCTCAATTATAATTGCCGTTCTAAGAACCCTATTGCAAGTATGGATTAATCTATATGAAAGATCAATTTTACGCGGTATTATTATCAATCTTATCAAAATATGAAAGATCATCCTAAAATCACATGGACATCAAATTCAACCAAATACTCCGCACTTTCAAAAATAACCCTAACCAACCACAAGTACTTGTGTAAGATAACGACCCAATGTAGTACAATACGCGGAGCACTTAATTAAACAATTAGTTACTCCGACTTGATTAATTCTTAATCCCACAAAAACATAAAAACAAAATTCAAACTGTAGAAGAAAAACAATGGTGTACAGTCAAGCTGAACCAAGTTTTTTTTTAAAAAAAAATGCTCAAATAAGATCAATTATATTACCAACTGACAAAATTTAAAATACAAAGTAAATGACAATTAGTGGACTAGGATATGTATACATGTATTAGAATAGATATCAAGATATGCAAATGTCTTCCTCCTTTGTCTGTTAGTTTAGTGGAACTTTTTTTATCAATATTAAGTGGGAAAACATAGGCTAATCAAAATCACAACATATAATGCTATTCCAAAGATAATTTATACAAGTATCATCATTCCATAACTTGAGCTAAAAAGGAACACTTAGCTTTTGAAAAAAAAAAAAAAACAACAACAACAACAACAATGGCCCATAATTGACCCAAATTTTTAAGCACAATGTAGTACTGAATCTTAAAAATAGGCATTATGCAAGAAAAGAGCTTGACGCATAACTGAATGACTTACAAATGCCATTATGCTCGCTGTCAAGCTTACCGAAAACAAAGGATAACAGGCGCAGGGAAAAAAAACGCATAGATTAGACATTTGTAGATGTCTGGAGCAACAATCTACTGAGAACATGAAACTAACTAATCCTTTCTGAATGTAACAAAAATTCAAGTTTGTTATTACAGTGTAGCACATTATCAAAACTTTGCACTGCTATAATTGCCTGTAAGTTTACTAATTTGTAATGCCTTTTATCTATCCACGTACTAAAACCAATTTACGGAAAGGACTGTACAGTAATTACCTAAGGAAAATTTTGAAGAGTCGAATGTTTGTATCACTCGGGTCATTTTTGCCAACTGTTTCAGTCAAGTTAATTAATGCCCTGAAATAATGCAGGCAACAATTAGGTAAATTGGTATCTAAATACGGATTAATGGGAAGTAATAAGAGTTGCTGTCAAAATTACAGCAATACACAACACACCTAATATTGTTTATCAAAAAAGCAGAAAACACGGCTACCAACTTGGGCCCGTGTGAGCAAAATTAAGACTATAAGATCAAAAGATAATATGACAGTGATCAACCACGTACCGGAATTTGCTGCGAGTTTCTGTGCAAGAACCACCATGGACCATTCCTTGAGAGTATTCTGGGGATTTGTAGCAAAAACAATATTATCAAAACATAGAAATAACATCAACATATACAAACATAGAGATTGAGACCAGGCATCTGCCATGAAAGATGAGCTTGCTAAAACTGAAGCAAGAATTGATAAAATATTGTATTTGTGTCTATATACAAGCTTAACAAACTGATATTGTTAATCAATCATTTTTGCAGATTATGGTAACCAAAGCTCTCAAACTTAAGGTCATCAGAGATCACTTCAGATCATGAGAAAGCAATTCATAATAAACGTACCTTAAGTATCCGGCAGCCATGCGCAAGCCCATGAAGAGGGTCAATCCAAGCCAGACACCAGGAAGTTTCATCACTGAGGGAGCATAGAGAAGGACAGACGACGAAATTGCCCCTACCAACATCTAAAATTCAGAAATGTAAGTAGACTAAGAGACAAATGCTTCTAAACCAAAAAGTCCTATCACCTTACCATGGAATAAGCAGCATATGAGAAGTCTGACGCTCCATAATGCAGACCATCAAAGATAAAAGCTAAAGAGTTGAGTGGCTGGCTTGCACTGACAAACTGTTGAAAATTGGCCGATTATGAGAGGCTACATTGCTGCTACCTATTATTTAGGCAAATAAACTCGGGTAATATGAAAATTGGTGCTTACCCAAGTGCCAGATTTTACAATCTGTAGTACTGCAGGATCCTTTGTGAACAAATTCGCTAAAGAACCAAAAGAAGATCCCAAAATTACAGCTAAAGCACCACCAGTAACTATCCCAATCTGGAAGGAGTTAGAACAAGCGCGGAAGCACCATTAATGGTAACATCCACATGACAAATATACAGACATGAGAATTAGATGTCAAACATGCAATATAAAAAAAGTAAAAGATGAAATTCTACCTTCAAAATAAAATTAGTTAGCTCTTTCACCGTATCGTAGTCACCGCTTGACAAGGAAGTAGCAACCAAGGCCTGAAATGAAAAGTGATGTGAGTGAACTCGATCTTACAGCATAAATGCTAATAGTTAACAAACTGTTTAAAGATCATATATTAATTGTTTTAAATCCATTTGAATCACTCCAACCATCCAAAAGGCGACATTCCTTTCTAATGTCCCATCCTTATTACATATTACTATTTACTGCATATTCATCGATGCAGATTTCCATATTTGGCTAAATACCCCACACGGTAGTCACATTTTCAATATTTGTGAGTCATCATATATAAACACTTTAGGATGGAGGTAGAACATCTTTTTCTTTTCTCTAAGTCAAAGTAGATGATTAATGAGCATATAGCCTGGACATGGAACCTCCCAGATGGATGAAGCTATTAAAGCCCATACCTGACCAGATGCCGCTAATGCATCAGTTAAAAGAGAGACAGCCAGCCACACTTGCATACAGATTTGATGAGCAGCCATTGCAAGAGGACCTTGACGAGCAGCCATTGAGGTCCCAATCGTCATAGTTATCAGAACAGCTAGAGTTCTTCCAATAAGAAATCCACCTGTAAAAAAAGATAATGTAAGGGAGCAGACAATACTCCAAGCATGCAACACTTAAAACTTTAAAAGTAGCATGGCCAACTAAGCAGACTAATTTGAGAAGTTTGTAATGGTGGTTATTGAATAAAAGGTTATTACAAATTAAGAACTAGACAACGAATCATAAATAGTAATAAAATATGAAATTTTTCTGACACTCACCAGACTTTAAATAGACCCCAAACTTCAGGTCTCCAAATTTTGGAGGTAATAATACTACTCTCTTGCTAAGATACCAAATCATCAAGAAGCTACCAATGTATCTGGAGCACAAAAAAACAGCATGATCACCAATTTTTATTTTTATATTTGTTTTTTTAAAAAAAGGGACTAACAGACTTCAGGAATAATATACATACTGAGACACAACAGTGGCAGTGGCTGCTCCAGTGACACCCATCTGAAAATAATTTATAAAAAGTGGGAACAGAAAAACAGCTGCAAGATTAGCGACACCTGCATAAGGATCACCAAAAATTCAACACACACATAAGAAGTCAAAAGAGGAAAGTAGGAAAAAAAATAAATTTAAAAGAGTAAAAAGAATAAAATTAGGAGATAAGAATGACACCAATTAAAAACAAAAAAAGCAACCAGGGGATAAAACAATAAGAATACATAAGCAATACTGAAGTTTGAAAACATGCCTAAGCAGTATACAGGGGTTTTTGTGTCCTTAAAGCCCCTTAGGACACCCTGAAGAGCCAAAGAAAGTACAACTGCGGGGGCACCAAGAGCTCTAAGTGACAAAAATCTTTCTGCTTGTAGTCGCATGGGGGAAACCTGCAGGGAGATTGCAACAGAACAATAAATTATGCCAGTAAGCAATACTTCTGCAGTTTAGTGCCAAGGATATACCAGATAATGGCCAGCAAAGATAACAAAGGGCTCATACGTTATATTTGTAAGTTTAAACCAAACCACAAGTATCTAAAACTTACTGGTGAGACACCCATTAAACTGAGGAATGATCCACTTCCAAAAAGTAAAGCTAGAGCCTCAATGATGCCAATGCTTAAAGCAAGGAATAATGCTGTAGAAACTGATGATAACTGCTTTCTTTCAAATTCTTCATGACCATCTAGTAGGTGCAAACATAATACATCATAATCAAGCATTACAAAACAATTCAATAGCTACAATAATGATCAGAATGACTATTCAGAATACTATACCTAAAGAAGACTTTGCTATATCTTCGGCTACAAATGAAGTTGCAACACTAAGAAGTGGTATGTTGAATAGCTTTGAAATGATGTTAAAGATCGACATAGAAACACCAGCAGATGCAAGTTCTACAGGACCTGCACACATAATGCTCTACTAATTTAGATCACAATTCACCACGAATATTAAGTTTTACTCCGTAATATAAAGTTGAAAATTATTAAACTCACAAAAAGAACATAGATAATTCAACATGAGAAATTGGATATTAACCTAAACTGCCAATATAAGCTGTCTCCATCAGCTGCGCCAAAGGATCAATGGCCTGGCTAGCTAATGCCGGCAAAGAAAGCATTATAAGCTCTCGTTTCACATTCGGTGGAGGCAATTGTTTAGAGGGCTGAATTAAAGGCTCACTGCAAAGTCATTAAATAACCCAGCAGTCAAACCAACATATAAAAAGAAATATACTACATACTTTGTATGATTTTATTGTACTTTTTCCTAGAAAAATGCACTGGAATCAGGAAGATTGAATTCAACAACAGTTTCTAAATAATCATAATCGTAAAGAAGTGGTTTTATAACACATAAAATTTATTAGATGCAGGGCTCAAATAGTGGTAATGTGGTATTAACAACAAATACATAGAAAAAAGAACTAATTGCACTTATAATACTCTTGAGACGAAAGGAATTATCCCAGGGGGTTTATACACCAAAAAACTTAAAACAGAAGAATTATTCGAAAGCATGAAATGTTTCAGCAGCTAATAATGGTAATTAAAACATGTAATGGAATCATGAAGATTAAAGCAAGGGTTGACTTTTGACAGCCATATAGACCTTACATTGCTGAACAGAAAAAATTGCTAAAGCAAGGGTTTTGAGAGCCATAAAAAGAACCAAACATATATCAACATGACAAGCCTTACAAGGTTTTGATAAACAAAATATCTATAATAGAACAGTGAGATAGCATAGATAAAAAGAAACAGAGGTATATAAAAGGAAATTGGTTTTTTTTTTACATAGGTCTACATAGAATAAAAAGTCATGCCGTTAAATATATACACACACACTGACGTAAATCAATCAAAAATTCGAAGCTTAATAATATTTCAAACCTTAAACCATTAACACCATCATAATTTTCCAAAGTAATCGCTTCTGCAGCACTCTCCACTAAATCATGAGGCTCCTCCTCCACATCAAAAGGCTCAACACTGCAATCTGAACCCAACAGACTATATGTCACATTCTGAAAAGGCTTTCTACGACGAATAATAGTTTCCTGAGACAGCTTTCTTCTGTCAGCAGACATATAGCAGAGTCCGGACACATCTTCAGGACTCTTTCGATTAGCCAATGAAACTGAAGTACGAAATCCACATGATCGGCCCATAGAACTTGACCCGGCTGCCTTGCTCCATCTTCTCCTAGTGCTAGAAAATGCTGTTGAGATTTTACCACCACAAAGTTGTGCAGCTGTCATCCTTGAAGCTGTTTATAATCAATCTTCTCAACCCATATAATTCTACACAATTCATTAAATAAAAATCAAAATCAATATAATGTACAGAAATTTGTGCACCTACACCATTATGTGTTTCGAAAAACTCTTGATACATCTTTTCACAAATCACTGAAGAAGGAAGATCACTACTCATATCAAGCAATGCCCACTTGAAGCATATAGCTAACTACAATGTAATTATAGTGTTAAACAACACGGGCATGATATCGAATTCAAGTCCAAATTCGAAACTCGTTAGCATCTACATTAGTAGTTTTAGTACATTACTAACACTAGCTGTGGCATTAATGTATAGCTACACCCCATGTATGGACCACCTAAGGACATAATTTTGCCTTACTGCCACTTGCAAAAACAACACACAAACAAAAACCCACATTTACAAGAAACCCCCACCCACAAATATATTTAAATTGAATAATGATGATAGCAGAATTAAGGAATCAATGAAACAATCCAAATTAAGAAAAAGGACATAAATATACCCCAAGATAAGAAAAAACAAGATGAATTGAACAAGTGAAACTCCGTAATTAGTAAAAATTAAGGGTTAATCAGTATTATTATCATAATAAAAATTAAAATTCAGCCTTAATCATAATTAATCAGTGCAAAACAGTTTTAATCAGTTAAAAATTAAGTAGAGTAAACATTAAACATCAACAAATTACAACGAAAATTATGAAAGACGAAATAGAAGAGGAAAAATAATGCATACGAACTAAATCAAACAAAAGCAACAAATTACGTTCTTTAATCTTTACAAGAAATTAAATTGCTTTCAAATTCCTGCACCTAGAATGGCAAATTCTCATAACAATAACATTGATGAAAGAGATACAGTAATACCCATCAACGAAAATATTACGAGCAAAATTCTCCGAGCATAAAAATTAAAAATTGAAGGAAAAAGAAGCAGTAAAATAAACAAACAGAGAGAGAAAAATACTTGGGTTGGAATTTTTAGGGTGGATGAGAGTGAAGAATGAAGAAATTGCAGGGGAAGCGGTTATTTTCGCTTAAAGATTGAATTTTTATTTTTTTACTCGATTTGTGTTCCAGCAACACGTAGGCGGTAGGAGTTCTTTTCGATGGGCTGCTTGTGGGTCTGTATTTTGATGTCCTTGTTCTCAAAATAGCATGGCTGCACGGTCCACGGGGTATGGGCGTATTAGAGGTGTTAATTTGGATGTCTGGGTGAAGTCGAATTCGGTCGAGTTAAATTTCAGACTTGAGTCATGTTAAATAATTGTGTTCATGTGAAACGAAATTTAAATTGGTTTTTTTTAGGTTGGGTCAAGTTTTAAGTTTTGACACCAATCGATATAGCAGTATAGGTTTGGAATCGGAAATCAAAGTACTCAATAGGATGGTACTGTGTGTCAAGCTTGAAAACTTGACAATTTTGGGTGCGTTCTATCTGAACTTATTTTAGTTATAAATTGAACTTGTGTAACTCTGATTAACCCTTATCTAAACTTATTTTTCTTGAAGTAAGTGAAAATAAGGTGAACAGATTAGGGTCTTAGCTCTAACTACACCTTTAGTTTCTAAACTTGATATCATACATCTTGTAATTTGAGGAATGAGTTTGAATTGAAATTAGCAACTTATCAAACACAAGATACGTGTTTTGCCCATTCCATATTCATATGCCTTAAGCCTAATTTTATTTGATGTCTAAATGTATGGTACAGTATGAGTTATGCACATCTGTATGGGTTTCTAAATTTGATACTTGATAAAACAAGCAGTGTTATACGTAGTATATAGAGTAATTTTACACCAAGTCACAGCAGAAGTTGACTACCGTCATAGTTAAACTAAATAATCGTAATTAAGAAAACAATTGGATTCCAAAGCATTATTATTGATTCAGATATTAATGCCAGACAATTCATCAACTACAACACTTACAAATTACATCCAATTTCTTCAACCAACACCCCATTACCCTCAAACAAACCAAAAACAAAAAGGAAGGAAAAAAATTTACCAAGTAAACAAAAACAAAATCTAACTTCTAATGTACTAAGCCACACAAAATACTCCCCAAGTATAAACGAATCACAGAAATGTCTGCAGCATGATCATCTGAAGACTGAGCAAAACAATAGCCAAACTCCAACCTCTCAAACGAGATCCGTTGCTGTCCTCACTTGATCCCGGGGCTGCATTACAACGTTGAGGCAAAGACAGAGCTAAACATCAGCAACTTTATCAAGTACAAAATCACTGCAAATATACATTAAGCTATACAATATTTGTATTATTAAGGCCTGAAGTATAGCAGGTTGAATTGATTAAATCAGTTTATATACGCTCCTTAATTCAATAATCAAAGAAATTGGTTGTTTTCCATCAAGAGCGCGTATGAATGTGTATGATAAAATCGTACAGAAATTTGAAGATTACCAGGACAAGTGTTTTCAACAGCAAGGGTAGTGAGAACGGTTTGTTTGTTGTAACCAGCATAGGCACAAGTTGTACGGCTGCAGCTTGAAGTAGTCGAGTTACTAAGTAAAAAATTCGAATCAGGACACTTCATAGCAGGACATGTAGGCCAATTCACTGCTTTAAGTCCTGATGGTTGACAATTCAGCCTAAAACAAGCCATACAAGCATCATAGAAAATGTAAGTACACAGCTAGATTAGTTGAAGTTTATGCAAGCAGGGTAAATAGTTGATTAAATTGAACCAATATGATACAATGAATGAACTTACGTGTAGTTATTTGTCTTGTCACAGCTGCACCTTACACAGTTGTTGGCAGTAAAAACGTAAGTGCCATTGGCGACTAGCAACGAGGAATCAGAGGAGCTGTTGTTTATACTTGAGCTGCAAGCTGCATCAGATATTTTTATTAAAAAAAGTAAACTGATCAAGGAGCTGAGGAAAATATGAAGCAAAAAGAATGCAACATATGAAGCCCTCTTTGATCAAAATGTTGGTACTACATATATAATTTGAGTATTGAGATTTTGGAGGATTGTAATGAAAGGTTGTGAAAATGACACTAGAATTACGGAGAGTATAACTTTAACAAACCATTTTCTATTCAGAACATTTCATTGCTTTATTCAATTAGAAACTTAGCGTGTGAACTAAAGTACATAAGTTATTAATACTCCGATCACTTAGAATAACAAGTTCTCGCTTGCTTAGTGCTTTAGCTCTATCAAATTTGATCAAATTGTATAATCATAAATTATTATTAATGAAAGTTCACATGATCACATCCACTTTCACAGTCATATATGCACGTACATAAACTTGAGTGCTAGGCATTAGGGTACGACTGTACGAGTACATCTTATCATCTAGTCAGCTAGAGATGTCCCAAAAAAACAGTTTTCATTTTGGCAGTTTCAACAATATGGCATTATAAATGCTGCAATAATATTTCCTATAATCCACTATTTGATTTATGTTCTATACTCGTTCTCTTTATATTTTTCCAAACATTATTTTTCTTGTGAAAATATACTACTCTCTCGGCCTCTCAATCTTATTTACATGTTATGGAGTACAATTCTATCCACCTAAAAGGCGAAAACAACGCCTCTCTTATATCTTACATGGTGCAATCTAGGGGTGAGCATAACAGGGTACCCTGTAAAAACTCCAGGAACCAGAACCGGAACCGGAACTTGCTTCAACAGGTTCCTCAAAATGAGAACCGGAACCTGTTGAACAGGTTCCTAGAAATTGAGAACCGGAACTAGAACTTGTAGGTTCCGGTTCCGATTCAGGGTACCCTGTATTATAATATACTCACTAACTTTTTCGCGGAATTTTTAATAATAAACTGGTTGGTCACTAATTTATAATGTTTGCAACTTGCAAATAAGACAAACTAATAGTAGTTGTCTAACAAATTTAATATATATATTTTTATAATTGTAATTTTGATATTTATTATTTAAAAATTGAGTAAGAATTAGTGTATAATTTGAAATTAAGTGATACTTTTATCAGGTACAGGGTACCCTACAGGTTCCGATTCCAAAAAATTGAGAACCGGAACCTATTACAACAGGTTCTCCAGTTTGCTACTCGGAACCGGAACCTCTTATACAGGTTCTGGTTCCGGAACCTGCGGTTCCTAACAGGTTCCGATTCCGATTCCGATTCAGGGTACCCTGATTTTTTGCTCACCCCTAGTGCAATCAATTACTTATAATAAAATGCATGAACTTCATAAGTTTGAAAGAGTCATTAGCCGCAGCACACAAGTGTGAAACCATGGGAACAAGAGAAAGTAAACTGTGGGCCCATTGCCCATGTAAAGCTAAAGATAAGTGGGTTGAATAATAGTGGGCCTATACCCCAACTTGCCCACTAATTTTCTGAACATTATACTATAGCCCGTCAGTAAAAATTCAAACATACTCTCATTATACACCCTCCTATTATATAGATAATTGAAATTTTCAAACATTACACATCCACCTATATATGTAGTAACAGACAAAAACTACTACAAGTAGTAATTTTTTAATTAGGGTTACTCCTTATTACTTAATTAATGTTGTTTAACTTATTATAGATACATTGAAATTTTCTAACATTAGATATCCACCTATGTTAACAGACAATTTTAGTAGTTTTTTTTTTATTACTTTGTAAATAATGCCGTTGTTAAACCTTGGAGTAATTAAATAAATATAATTCAAATGTAAGTATAATTGTTTATTACGGCCCAATTTTGTTGTTTTATGGTAGAATTAATTCGAAATTAGGCAGAACTCAATACCAAAGCACGTGCACATGCAAAATGCAAGCCGTGGGTAGACATAGCAGCCTTTTTCTGACTACAAAATCCAATTTCGGAACTATTTCTTTACTTTGTCACTTCTTCTCGTATTCGAATCTATCCCTTTGCTATGTTTTAGATTAAACAGTCCTTAAACACCAACTTAAAATACATAATTACCAATGTTTTATTTTTTATTTTTTTTTTTCTATTTCCTGTTTTTCTTGTGTTATGTGTCAATACACTTATATATTAAAATACATCCCGCCTTCTATTATACACCTGAATGTATTAGATAAACATAATGTATGTAAGTAGTGTTTATATGACTGAGAACTTTTATATGTACCCAAGTGTACAAAAAGGAAGCCAAACCCAGACCATAACATAAATTTTGCACATTTGATGATATTAATTATTGGTTGATTAGAAAATTAAAATGAAACTAAAATATCAATTGAGTAGTCTGTTTTGAATTTAATTATCACGTTACTAAGTCAAATTACATTATTAATAGACGAATTTAATAAAATCGAGAGAGAAGAGAAAAAGAACCTTTAATAGGGACATCAAGGACTTGACCAGCAATGAGACTCTTAGGATCAGAAATACTGTTCACTTTCATCAAACTTTCCGAAGTCATCCCAAACTCGGCCGCAATTTGACTGACACTACTATCAGGAGCCACCACGTGTGCATAATGAACCACCTCCTGACCCTCCACGTCATCACAGCTACACGGAAGTGGGATCCACAACTTCTGACCAATAATAATGAGATTAGGATCCTTAATCCCATTAGCAGTCACAATTTGAGGGTAATCAACGAGTCCGGAAAACACTTGACAACAGTGTATTTAGGAACACGGTTAGAGATCCCTGTCCCGTTGCGACAATGGCAAGGGAAAGGGATTTTGATGGTTGAGTTCGCAGTCACTGTATGACTTGGAGGAGTGTTTGAAGGGAGGTTGTTGACTCCAGGATAGAACGGAGTGTTTTGACTTGGAAGAGTGATTGGATGTGACCGATGGTGGTTGTGTTCGGGGAGATGTAGCCGGCTAGTGCACGACAAGTGGACTTTGTCGTGCACTTGAACACCGGTGGCGGTGCTTGCGCAGAGATGATTGGTGGTGAGAGGAGGAGGAGGAGGAAGGAGAGTGGGATGAGGAGGATAGTCATTGTTGTTGTTATTGTAGGTGGGAGTGTTGGTTTTGTGTTTTTTGTTATAAAGAGGGAGAAAGAATGAAAGATAGGAGGTTTCAAGTTGGAACTTTGATTAAAAGGTGGGATGAATTTAATGTGGTTTTTGGGTTTGTTTGTCTAGTTGGTTGAAGGGCGAAAGAAAAGAGTGGACTTTGACTAATCATGTTGTTTAAGTCTATGATAGTGATAAAATAGTGTTTTGGTGGGTATTAGAGTATATTACACCTTGTTCTAATAATAGCATCCCTTATCAGAGTTATCACATGTCTACATATACACTAGCCTAATATTTGAATTTTCTTATTTATCACTGCTTAAGTTTGGGATACATTCAAAGCCATATATATATATGTTCAAACACAAATTCTTATACATAGGTTGGCCACGCGTATAGACTATAATATTGAGTTGGTCACACTGTCTGGCCTGTCAATATGGGATTACTTCGTTAGTGTTATATTATAGGGGTTATTTTGTCTAGATTATAGGAGTTACTCACTTAGTGTTATAAAAATTACTTTATTTTTTTATAAACGGGCTATATTTATAGCCAGCCATACACAAGACGTGCTAGACTGCTGGTACTCCAATAATTATACTGAAAAAATAAATAAATATTGTAAATATAGCTAAAATAATGTAAGTATACAACTATTGATATTGAACTATGGAGTAATATATTTTATGCTACTCCATATAACACTCTATAAATCTTAATTTAGCTCCCCGTTTTTGATGCCTTGATGGCCATAGTTATTCACAATCATTTTAGAAGAAAGCTTACACAATTACACATAAATCGGTGTAATTAATATTATGCTATTCACAATCATTCGTTTTCTTAGTTTCTTATAGAAGTTGCATATAACATTTTCCGTTTTTCCTTACATAAAAACAAGGACAAAGACAGTCACGAGGGCACAAAAATTGGAAGGTTGAAAGAAGAGTCGAACTTCTTTTTGAAAACAAGTTGGGTCATTGACAAATTCCATTATACTACCTCCATTACATATTAGTTGCAACTTTGGAATATTTTATGTCTCACAAATAATACCCCAAATTTGCAACTAATATGTAACGGAGGTAGTATAACTCTTTCATATTCTATTCATACTTACAACAGCGTGTTGGAACGAAGTAGCGTTAGTGGAAAAGTTGGCACTTTCACATGAATTTTTTTTTATCTTATGAAGGGCATACTAATCATTTCATCATAGATTAATTAGTTTAGTCGCCGTTTATTAATCTTACATAAATGATAATCCATCCTATAACTTCATACAAATAATGACTTGCAGCAAAGCTTCTAATAATTTCACTACATTTAACTTATTAAATTAATTTAGTCAAGGCGAATTGCTTCAGCAGTCTCAAGAGATTAATAATATTATTTACAATTATACTATTGATAATTATGCATTTATATAATATTTTCTGTATTAAACTATAATTAAATGAAGATTATGATAATGATGTGACACCCCAACAACAAGGGTCGTATGATAGAACAGAGAAAATTTAGGAATTAGAAATTTCATAATTTGGACAATAATGGCGTCCTGGCGTTGACCAAATAGAAGTCAAACCCAGAGTTTTCGGCATAGCGTATGCCACTTGAACACATTCTCCTTCATTCTGGTTTCCGAAAGTCAAATGCTCAGGTTGTTCACACTTTAAATAAAGCATAGGTACACTTTTAATACTTCGTATCAATTAGTTACTTATCCAAAAGACAAGCTTTTGATCTTAGTACACAGCATTTACCGGAGATTTAGAACTTTAGAGTTAATCATAGATCAGACCTGTCAGAATTAACGATAGATAGGACCTGTAAAGATTGTATCAGCCTAAATTACCAGAAAGATTAGAGTAAAAAAACTACGAGTACAAGGTAGATTAAAGTAAAACGTTACCAGAAAGATTTTTAAATTAATCTTCTGGCACAAAACTAAATAGAGAGTATCCAAGGATGGCCATATTTAGTTTTTTACGACTTCTTAATTAATGTAAGGAGTTTCACAAATTGACTAGTCAGAATTCAAATGAAAAAACTACAGATAAGTTAACGATCAGTTGGTTTTGGTGGTATAAAATAGGAAGTATTATATATGTACTTATCTAGCAACTCATATTAATTATTGAGCTATTTATGCAAAAAAAAACTGTAGGTCATTGATAGTCAAGGTTGTGGCTGCAGGGAGAATATTTTCTTTCCTTTGAAAAACCTATCAAAACCGAAGATTTGTCTTGTAAAACGAAATTAACCAGGTACAAATGGGTACTGTTAACTCTAACATCTCCTCCGTACATTAGTGTCAACTGTCAAGTGTACAAAATTTGATATTGAATATGGAGTATAGATAACAAATTAACAAGTCAGGAAATATGACAGATACAGAGGAAAGGGATCTCCACAACCTTGACTATCAATGACCTACAGTTTTACACGATTTTCCACCTAGAAAATTACTCCATAAATCTTAAACTATCCTCAAATCAGATTTTCAAGAATTTACTCCGTACTATGGGTAAATACTTAATCATATACTAAATGGCAAGTTGCAACTCTCTATCTGACATTCTGACACTGCAATACCTCGAGCTTATAATCAACAGATGACAACAGCACAATTTAAGAGAAATAAACTGGAAACAATCTCACCTATCTAAGTACCCACAGATCAAGAGCCCAGAAAAAACAATTTCCAAATGTTTCAGCAGTGCATGTTATTGCGTGCTTTGCTTGGAGATTCGTTTGCTAATAAGGAATCACAGATTTGACAAGAGAAGAATCATAAAGCCTCGCAGCTTATTCCTAAGAAAAACCCAAAAAACATGCCATATTTAATGGCCACCCATAAATAATATTTTCTGGCTTCTTGCAGATGGGTTTGTGCCCTACCTAGTAGCCACAGAAATCTTAGTATATAGCACATAATAATTGGGAAGGAACTAATTCAGAGTTCATTATGCTAGGATTGTCCAAGCTTCTACTGCGACTTCACATCAACACTCATTCATTCAAGATGTCTAGAGTTTTCTTTCAAGTCAAGCTGCTCAGTCAGGTCATGGCTTATTACGCTGTCATTTTGAGACCAATTCATTCATGTTTGGATCAAGTCCATTTTGGTTTGGATCGAATCAGTGAATAACAAAATTATGCATATCTAATGCATAACTAGACAAATTTATCTGCAAACTACACTTGTTATCATTTACTACCAAAAAAGTGTAGCAATACATATATATATATATATATATATATATATATATTGAAACAATTTATATTAACTGCATTTACATAACTAAATTAAGAAAGAATTATTTATAGACAACACCAATAGTAAAAACCAAGACAAATTAAAAAGAAAAAGTATCAAAATATAAATAATGAAAACATGGCACAAGCATCGATTTGGTTTATTTTTTCATCTTGGTGTTGTAAACAAGTACCAGCATTTGCGAATCAAAGTTTATAAGTTTAATTAGAAAATTATAATCAATCATTTCTGTCAAATCAAAAACTTCCTACCAAGTGTATCAAAGAAAAGATAGCTACATGCAACATCACATCTAAAAAACTCTATGTTCTATAATAAGGATCAAGAGGAACAAATCAGTTGATGGCTAAATACAGTAACAAGTTGTTGAAAGGAGGAGCTAACCGAAAGGCAGAGCTAGAGCTTGAATAAGAGCTTTTCAATTCTCATGAAATCGTCGCAATATTGATTCAGCAAAGCTTTTTTGCCTGTGCATACGAAACATTCAACATCAATATTTTGTACTTGGTAATTAGAGATTGATATATATTAAGTTTGTTATGAATAACTATCCAACCACCAAAACCCAAGAGAAACTTAGTAATTAGTAGAATTTTTTTTTTTTTTTTTTTTTTTTTTTTTTTTTGTGTGTGTGTGTGTTGGGGGGGGGGGGGTTGGAGCATTGATGATAGGCGACGGTAGAAGGGTCAGGTAGCATCGTAGAGATGATGCCTTCACAACCTCCAAGATTACCCTCAATTCTCCATCCTGATAACAGGCACTACCTCATCCCGTAACTTCCATCCACCTTCATTCTCTTTTTTTCTTTTACTGCCCCCCTTGATAAATGAGGATGTCTTTGCCCAGAATGCCCAGCAACCCCTATATAATGGTACCGATTAAGAAGTATATATGTACTTAACCGGGTACCAACAAAGCACTACTTAAGTACCAAAGAGAGATTGCACTAGTCCAATATGGACACAAGCCATTTTTTAACTAAGCAAGCCTCTTTGTAAGTTTATAGATTACAACACCCCCCCCCCCCTTCTCTCCCCTCCACCCACAACACCACACAAAAAAATTATAATAAAAAGACCCTCGTGCCCTTAAAATAAGAAAGACGGGAACATAAAGGAGAGGGTGGCCAAGAGGAAGCAATGTTAAAGTAGTTGAATCCCTGTGTATGGAGAGGGCAAATAGTATAAAATTCTTTGCTTTACTAATATTGGCCTTACTGAAGAGAGAGAGAGAGAGAGAGAGAGAGAGAGGGGGGGGGGGGGACTTACTTGCTCTCTGTGAACCTAGGGCTGGGGCGTAGATACTTCAGGTAACCATCCCAAGGAACCTTTTTCAAGCCTGCTCTATGAGAGATCATGTCTCTAACCCTGCAAAAAGAGAAATACATTACACAAAAAATGAATCCAACATCTCATGCTTATACAAAATGAAGGAGATAGAAATATTCATTCACCTCTCAGCAAATTCAATGGGAGTCTCTCCCGATTTTATTGTTTGGGGCTCTAGATACCAAACATCACAAACAACGGCCCAAGATGTCATTAGCTGAAGCAGATGTGTTGTAAATGATTGCCTGCATATACATAGAATCCTCTTAAGATAACCACACATTAACTGGCATTTACTTGCACACTAAAATCAGACTTATTTTTTTAAACTATGTCTATTAGCAGGCATATTACAAATGGACATTTAGGGGATTAGGGCTCAGCATAGAGATCAAGTATCTGCCAATTTTCTTTCTTTCTTCTTTAATCTGATCCTTTTTCCTGGCCTCTACCCCACCAAGGTCATGGGAATAGGTTGGACACTAGAAATTATGGATGTTTCTAATGGAGTCACAGGTTGCAGTCACAAGAAACACTCACAAAGAAGCAACCAACCAACCACCTATAAACATCGTGACTAGCTGGTTTAGAATAAGAACAATTCTAATTTCTAAGGTGGCAGAGATACTTAAATGATGCCTGAAGAATTTGAGAGGACAGATAATTTAAACAAAAAGGAAAGAATGAAAGACACAATCAATGCAGCAATAGAAAATATCCTTATGTGACATCCAGAATCAAGAAAGAAGCTCACAGCAGCTCTTACTTCTTACTGTTCCAGAAGGCATCAACAAAAATCTTGTTGTACTTGATAGCTACAGGACAAACAGGGCAGTCAAGCTCAAATGCACCCTAAATGAAAAAAAAAAAAAAAAAACAGGAAAAAAATAGTTAAGCATCAAAGAACAAGTTGCTGCCAACAAATTTCATCCAAAAGTTAACAACAGAGACATCCAAAACTTATACGGAGTACTAAAGTATTCTTTACCTTCTTGAACATAACTGTATACTCGTTATTAACACAAGTTCCTTCAGGAAATATCAGAAGTGGGTTATTGTCAGCCCCATGCACATGGTCCCTCAACCTGCAAATGTAAACTTGAAATTTAGAAAAGCCTAGGTAAGATATAAAAACATGGATGTTTCCAGACACGCACTTTCTTTGTACAACAGCACGGTCGTTTACTTCTGCACGATTGAACCAAATACATCCAAGACTTTCTAAAATAGTACTCTGCAGCAATCCTGCACGAAAAGGACAACAGTAAAATGTCACTACATAGATTTACTCATTTACCCTTTTTAAATATGACAATACAATGAAAACACACTATATTTTAATTCATCTGTGTTAGACTCAGCTTATTCAATATCTGATTGAAGCTTTTCCATATATTATGATATTATTAAATCTTAAGCTGTAAACGTGAAATGCTCCAGTTCTGAAACTCTTCAAGTTGCAGCATATCAACAAAATTACCTTAGTTTCTAATCATACATCATTCATTAACATGTATCCTTTTGAGCATCAAGTTTCTAATAAATATAGAAAAGCAGAATCTGTGAGAGCATACCAAAAAAATCAAATTCTAAAAGGTGGAACACGCAAAGAGAATTGTTAGCATATCCATTGCTTTGAAATCCTTACCAACCCAGCCAGGATGCTTTTGCATAATGACAGCAAATGCAGTCATTTGTTCTAAAACAATGAAATCAATCATGGATGTGTGATTGGCCACGAAAATCTGTTTGAAACAAAAGCAAAAGATCAATTTTGAGTGTATAATACGGGAAAAACGTTGATGAAAACAAAACTGCACAGAATTTATCACCTGCTTAGATCTCACACTCGGTCGTGGCCCATGATACTTAATAACCCCAGTCCATGATGCAACAAAGAAACTGCAAATAAGCTCCACAAGAGATCTCTGATAGGAAATCAAATGAAACATAAATTGTCATAGCAGGTATTTTCAGAACTACCAATTCAAAAATATAGAGAACCTTTTAAACACATTTCATTTACAGCCACAAACATTTTCACTTCCCCAAACACTAATAATTGAAACAACTAGAGTGCCCACTTTTTAACTTTATACACAAACCTTTTTTTCTCTCCTCTCAACTTTAACAAAATTACTTTTTTACTTCGTGTTAAAATTAGAGGATTTTAGAGTAGAAGATTGTTGAAAAAGAGAAGTGGCCATTGCTACTCAAGTTTAGCTCAGGCTAGAGAGAAAAAAGTTTCTTATCTCTACATTGTAATATGCTGAATACAAGCTATTTGTGGATATTCTAACTAACAACTAAAAAATCCTAAATTTAAGGAAAACATAACAAAGACAATGACTTGACCCTGGTATTAACTCGGCCACATTGCAAAGCATTTTAAGGATTTTGGAGCTTATTGCAAATGCAGTATCAGACCACAAACCGTCTGCATTGCCCACGAAAGTGGTTCAGCGGCCATTACTGTGATTGCAACAATTTCCGTGACTCAAAACCATGGGGCTGACAACTAAGCAATCTCCAACACTTTACTCTTTCTCTTTCAATAAACACATATTATAAACAATCCAATTCCAAACAAAATCCTAAAATCAATATATTTGAGCGGAAAAAATCATACACGTAATTATAAAGTTATGGCGGTTTACTATTTTGCAAGTATTAAATCTGTAAGTGGGGATGCGTTACAAACTTCCAGTTGTGTAAATAGAGCACTAGTTTACTATTTGGTACAGCCATTTTATTCTGTTAGCAAAAGTTAATCTTAGGTCCTATATCAGGTATCATGCCATTACAATATTACATGCACCTAAAATGACTGTTGCTGTTGTTTGAAATATGCACTATAAGCAGCACTGCTATCACGACATGCAAGTATGCAACATTGTTCTTTTTCTAGGGCAACTAAGTTTCAAAGCACAAAAGAATATATATTAAGTCCCAAGATATAGTCACATACTTTTGGAACAAACATATATTAGTGCTTAAACTTCACCCCCAATAAAAAAAATATAAACATATAAATAAATGTACCTCTAATTTCTTCCTCAGCTTATTTTGCCCTTTCAATAAGAAATGAACAGGCATGTAGAGAGAAAGGAATATTATCCATCCGAGTGTCAAAACTAGAACCCTGCGGAAATACATTTAACAAGCGTCAGCTAGAGAGTAGCACAATGTAGAGTAGTCACAAGGCTTAATAGCTCTATTACAACTACATAACTCTTATTAACCTATCAGCAACAAACTTAGAGTGCAAAGAGTCTCAAAGCAATACAGCATCTAACGACAGTTTGGATGATCATAAAATACTGGACTTTCCTTTCTATAAATCTATTCACTTCCTCTTGACATATTTAGAATTATTTATAAGTAAATAAAAACAGTACAATAGATGATTGATAGAAAGATAATTTCTTTGCACCAAAAGAATGCCCAAAATTCGAAGTGTCACAGCATGCCTTCCGTTTATCTTTACAATAATCTCATGAATCACAAGTCACCAACACCGAATTCACCATCAAATTGTGTCACTTTCCACTCAAATTTTCATATATCTCACTTCAGTATGGCCACCTACACAAACTGACACTCAAAGCATAATTAACATGTTTATCTAGACAAATTTAGGAGCACATTGTTTTACATGCTCATGATCTACCCGCCTTAATTGCATATTCTACATGTTCGTCTAGACAAATATTGTAATCTAACCTTTAACGGTAATTCCTCAAGACTTGCGTAACCACCTCTTAAGTGGGACTCGGATCAAAGAAACAAATTCCAAACTTACTTGAAACATTTATTGACACATAGTTTAAGAAACAGTGGTTCCAACTAATTGATTTGAAAGCTAACCTTATTGGGAAAATAATCAAGTATCTCATAACAACTCCACAACACCACAGCGGAAATAGATAGATATTCCAGTTCCAGGGCTCTGGAGGATTTGACTTGAAGCAACGCGTAAAAGAGTCCTGAGTACATATTAAACAAAAATGATAGTCAAAAGAAGCCATAACCCAAGCATATGATACTTAGAAGATGACATTGAAAGTCAAAGGTTTGCTTCTCATTAATTTTTATCCCAAAGAATCTAACTTATGTGTAACGTGTTATAAATAATATTACGATCGAAACAGCCTTCCTGCAACAAACAAGATTTACTAAATCACAGCAGCACAGTCAAAGTTTTACTAGAAAGAAAATCACAAGAAAACAAGATAAGGGGGGGAAAAAAGGCAAAGTAATACCGAAGGAGACAAAGCAAGCAACCATTGTACAAGATATAAAAAGGGTTCAAATATGTTTGTTCATACAATATGTTCAATATAAAACTAAATCACTCACATCAACAATGGCGCCAGCAGCCTCGGTAAGAGCAGGAGAAAGATCAATCAAGTCCCTCCTAAAATTGAGTCAATTCAACCCACAAACAAATAAATACATACTACGTATATCCATTTTTTTAAAAAAAAGTTGATCAGAAGGAAAAATAAAGAGGACAGAGAGAGATAAGTACAAACGAAGCTTGCCATGAGGCTCAGGGAGGGATTCAGAAAGATAATCTTCAATGTTGGGTCGGTCCGAATCCAATTCAGCGCTTACAGATGGATATAGCTTCCCATCTTCACTCTTACTCTCACTCATTTCTTTCCACACTTTTTCTCCTATAAGTTATTTGATGTTCCCTTTTCTTTGGCTGATTGAAAGAGAGGGAAACAACATTATTTAGCTTATCGATTTGGCAAACACTAATACAGACATGGGAAGACAGTAACAAAGATTAAGAGGCCACCAATTCGGCAAAGTAAAATAAGAAGATCACATACAAATGGAAGTATAGAACCATATCTAATAAGAATTAAATTTTTCAATATATTAAACAGAATGTATCATTCAAACCTTAGAATAAAGGAATTTTTCAATGTGCAAAATCTGTCAAAGATAAATGAAACTAAATTGCCATTACTAATCAAAATCAAAAGCATATCATAATATAGACACTGGAATTGAAAATATAAAATCATCAATTTCATGAAATAATACATTGATACTTTACACTAATCTAATCAACAACTAAAACTAGAGATTAAAGAAGAAAAAGACATCAGATAATAAGCGATTTTTTTATCAACACCAAATAATTTCAATTTTAACCATAAGTTTGTATCGTCATCTGCCAATTTATCAGATAATTATTAACAAAAAAAAAAAATACAATTCAGGTTGTAATTTAAGTTACAAGACATTAATTCGAGCTTTGAAACAAAAAATCATGAATATGACAGCAATTTAATGACTCAGGTAGGTGGAAAAATGCGATTTAAGCGAGAGGAAATACCTGGAGAATATGCGATCGATGAATCGGCAAAAACCTAAATCGAATTAGTGAAAAAAAAAAAACCTTGAATTTGCAGGTGTAACGATTCAATCCAAGGAAAACGGAGAAGTTGCGACGATTTCAATGGAGGAATTATATAAAAATGAAGTTTAGTGACTAGTGTGATTGAGTTTGTGATCCAAACCTTCAACTGAATAATGGAAATTGGAAATGTGGACAGGGACCAAAGTTCATGTTATACAAACTTGGGCCTCATCACGGCCTCGTTTGTTTTGTAACAGGGGTTTATGATGAGATGAATAGATGATGTACCCTTTTTTTTTTTGAGCAAAAGATGATGTTTATTATGCTTAAGTTGTTTTTTATGGAAAACCATTTTATTATCTATACTAGTTTACTTCCTGTGCAAGTGTGCAATAATACAGAGAAATAAAATTTTCTACTCTATAATTTTTTTTATATGAAGTACATGATAATTAATTTCTACTGTAAGTATATTAATATTAACAATTTTTGGTGTATCAGGTCACACCATGCAGTAGGGGTTGCCCGAATTTTTTTGTTAGGGGGTTACATGTGCTTTTCAGACATGGGTTACTTAACTTTTTCAATCAGGGGTTACTTGATTTACTAGGTCATGGATTACTTAAGTTACTTGGTCAAGGGTCACTTGAGTTTTCAGTCAGGGGTTACTTGAGTTACTCTGTCAGGGGTTGCTTGAGTTTTTCGATCGTGAGGTTACTTGAGTTTTTCAGTCATGGGTTACTTGAGTTTCTCGGTCATGGGTTACTTGAGACGTTCGGACAGGGATTCCTCGAGAGGTTCACTCGGTTAAGGTTTACTCAGTAAGGGGTTACTCGAGTTTCTCAGCCAGGCCGCATTCAAAAAATTGTGACTCGAGTAACCCTTGACCGAGCAACTCGAGTCACCCTTTGTCGAAAAACTCGAGTAACCCCTAACCGAGAAACACAAGTAACCCCGAAAACTCAAGTAATCCCTGACTGAGAAACTCAATTAACCCCGAAAACTCGAGTAACCTAGACCGAGAAACTCAAATAACCCCTGACCGAGAAACTCAAGTAACCCCGAAAACTCAAGTAACGCCTGACCGAGAAACTCAAGTAACCTCTGACTGAGAAACTCGAGTAACCCATGTCGCACGGTATAACAGACCGCATATAAAAATTTGTGATAAATATACCTGTAAAAAAAGGACTCGGTAAGGATAAAGCATATGAAAGGTTTATTAGATAAAAATAAAAAATAAAACTAATGACATCATCATAGAAAATTGGCGGGAAAAAAATTTATGTTAGAGTGACATGTGTACGATTTGAAGAAAGGATCATGTCAGCAACGTTTTGTTTTACTATTAATTTGTTGTTTGATTGATTTTTACTTCCTTCATCACTTTTTGTTTTTTTTTTTAAAAAAAAACGTATTATCCTTCCTAACACTTTTACGACAAAGTGTTAGACCCTATTTCCTTCACTTTAAAATAATAATATTTAGTAATATAATACATAGAGAGGGATAACTCAAGTGGTTAGAGCTTCCCTTCCGATTCTAGAAGGTCCTGGGATCGTTTCTCACCTCCGCTCTTGTGGCTCTCTAAAAAAATAAGAAATATAATACAAAATCTGTAAATTAAAGTGAAATTAAGTTGAAGTGAATAGGTCAGAGAGGTAGAGAAAAAAAAGTCTCATGGCTCTCACCAATTTAAAAGTCAACAAACAAGTAATGTGTTGCATCTATGATTCTATGGTCAACTTATATATCAAGTACCCAAGTACGGATCATTAATTAAAGGATTAGTTTGTCATTACCATCTTGATTAGCTAACGAATTTGCCGGCCTGGCCTACTAATCAAACTTCATGCATGGAATGTAACCATTAGTGGGCACCACTTTTTCATGTTTTTTGAGATTTTGAAGACTTTTAAATTTTTAACCAACTACCACCAAAATCATCATTTTTTCCACTTATTAAAGTGCCAAGTTTTATTGTTTTAACCATCTTTTTCTTCTACCACCTGTTTTTCTGACTTATTTTCTTGATTAGTAAGATGAATAAAATTTTCAGATTTTTATTTTTATTTTTATTTTGCAAAGTGCAGGCAACAATCTATGAGCAATTAAAAGGTGATACATGAAAATTTTGGTAGAATCTAGATGACATTTTTATATATACTACCTGTGATACTCTGAATTATACTCGTATTACCAAATTAAGGATTTTGCTAGTTGCGTCTAATGATAACAAAAGATGATGATTTTGTTAAATTCCAACTTTATTGAATATCATTTTGGGACCTTAATTAAAAAAAGGTATAGTTTTGAAAAATGTATTAATTAATTGCTTATTCAATTCATAATCATTAGTAGATTGCCGATATTGACTGGAAATAACTTAGGGCATGTTCTCTTACGTTGAAATTCAGTTCAATTCAATTCAGCTCAGTTCAGCTCCTAATTTCCTTCTCTTATAAAATATTCATTTCAATTCAGCTCAATTCAATTCAGTTCAGTTCAGTCAATGAGAACATGCCCTTAATCTATCCATTATGTATAGTTTATTCATTTGATGGGGCTAACATTGTTAGATGATCCTTATAATTGAACACAGGACAGATTTAATTCAAGTAGTATACCAAGTTTTTATGTCTAAACAATGTTTCGGGTTATTGTTTGATGAGGGTAAATCTTCAAAAAGAACAAATGCATGTAAGAAGTAATAAACCATAGTACTAAGAAACTAAAGTCATCTAATATGTCCTATCCAAGCTCATAAGTTAGAAAACAATATCCCTAAAAGATACACCAGTCTAACTGTAAATTTTAAGATATATATTTTCAAATAATATCTTAAATATATATCTTATGATTAAGTAAATATAAATATATTATTCTCCTAATAAGATCAATACGGAAAATATATCATACATATTTTTTTTCCAATACTAATGATATGATATCCTATCTCTCATAAATTATAAATACATCGCATTAAAAAGCATATAAAAGATTAAATATACTTGTATCACTTAAAATCAGAAGTATGAAGTATGTCAGTTTGATACAATCTCTATACATACATTATATTTTCAAATGTTGAAAATTTAAAATTCTTAGCATTACTCGTTATTGAAGTGATGACCAAAGCACCAAACCTTGTTAAATAATTGATCGAAACCAAATTGCAAAATAAGATTCACAAGTTGCACAAAAATATTAATAGATTAATTAACAACCAAGATAACATAGAATTATTCAAACACAAAAGCTAGAATAAAATCCAAAAAAAACAAAACAAAAAAAAGGAGAAGAAGAAGAAAGATTCTACCTAACGCGCCCAGGTAGTGCATGTGTATTGCTCTGCGACTCTGTTAGCAGTAAAATAGGAGGGTATTTTGGTCTTTGAGTTGTCAATGACGTGGAAAAAATCCAACAATTTGCAATTAATTGTGGGAAAAAAATGTTAAAGGCTAAAAGCTTGAAGGCACGTTTAAAGCACGTGACGTGAAGGGAGCAAAGGACAGTTACAAAATTACAAAGATATTGCTGGATTGCCGGGAAACTTAAACAAAAATCTGTTGAAAAGTTAAGGGGTGTAGTAATTACAAAGAAATCAAAACGTACTTAATTAGTGCTTTAGATTTTAGACCCCACCTCAAAGGAGACCATAAACGTTACCAGTACATTTTATGGATTACCATTTGATAATTTGAATAATTAACATTTTGAATTTGTATAATTGGAGTAATTATGACTTATAATTTTCAATGTCTCACATAAAAGGGAATTTGTAACATTGGTGTGATTATGTTTTGTAATCCACATTATCTCACATAAACGGATCCATGATTAGCGTAGTTTATTTTTGTTGTAAAGGTAGATATTTTTAAACTTGGATTAAGGGTCTGTTCATATTTACTTATTTTCAATTCAGTTCAGCTCCAATCAGTTCAGCTCTTAATTTCCCTCTCTCATAAAATATTCATTTCAGCTTAGTTCAGTTCAGTTCAGCTCCAATCAGTTTAATTCAGTTCAGTTCAGTTCAGCTCAGTAAATATGAACAGGCCCTAAGATGAGATGCATGTTGAAATTGTATACTCCATAATAGTGAAAAATTCGTATGAACCATATTGTTGGAACATATCATAACTTAATAACTTATTGTTTGAATGGGAATGGGTGACTAGTTAGATGTATTATGATAATCATTATTAATAGTTAATCAAGTTAACACAATTTTTTAATACAAATTACTAATCTTAAACTGTTTCCTTCAAAAAAAAAAATGATTTGAACTTGTTTATACTTAATGAAATGAAATAAGGTGGGGATCGGAATATATTAGTCATACAGGTCTAATAAATGAACAAAAATTTGTTACTGCATATGATATTAACCTACTTTATCTTTTGATTAACATAATGCATGGTTAGAAACTCTACATATAATTATTTTTAGATTGTGCAGTAATTAATTATCTATTAAGATAATGCATGGTTAGAAACTCTACATAAAATTTGAATTCTGGTCGAGGAGTACAGGCTTCTAAGTCAATGAAGGTTCACGTCAGAAACTACAACTTATTGACAGACCCCTTGCAAGAGGCAGCATAGGACAGCGTTATATGAGACAAGGGTATTTCAAGAAGTCAATTTACGCGTGCAATTGTACTTTATTTTATTTTGAACTTGTAATTAGTTCAATTGTCTTTGTATTGTTCGATTACGTTTTCTTATGTAAGTGCCGTATGACTTATTATTAATGAATTTTAATCCCCCCTCAAAAAAAAAATTATCTATTAAGATTACGAGTAAGACTTTTTTTTTTATTAGTTACAAATGGTAAGTCAATTTCTTCAATTGATCTTATACCTCTCTCAAGGAACTTATAAATTGACAAATTTAGAGAATGAAAGATTGAAAGGCTTGATTATCAAATAGGTAGAGTATTTATACAAAATCTAGGATCATAAAGATAAACAAAAATATATTCTCTAAATAATATTTTAAATAATACTAAATACATAGTATATCATTCTCATAACAATATCTATACGGAAAATATATTACACATATATTGATATATCATATCTCTAACATTAATATATCATTGATAATTGGTTTTTGAATTTAATGTTTTATGAATAGGCAATTAAGTTATTAGTAGCTAATTTTTTAATAAATCATTGACATTAGCCAATTGGCATAAGTGATGATAGAAATAACACACATAGAGCGAGGGATATGGAAGGTGATTGCTTAACATACGTCTTTATTAATTTTTTGTAGAGCAATATATTCGTAAAGCGATAATTAAAATTATCACTAAAAGGGATTATATGATAGTGACGAATAATTAGTTGTTATTGCATAAGATTGATGAGTAGTAACAACTTAAGACACAAATACACATATTATTATAAGGTATAGAGAGAAGATTAACAAGCATGCTAACACTAAACACGGTAGTGACATTCATTAATAATTGCGATGACATTTTCGCTTTGATTATGAGATTGTAACCTACAAAAATTTGGTATATTACTAATCATGAAGTATGAGCATATTAGTTCTCCTCATAACCACTACAATCACTTTAAAATTTCATCAGTCCAAACTTAGGTATCCATAATAACAATATAAATCAGATGAGGCAGGTGATTAGGCAATATAATTATGAATAAATTCATTCAAAAAACACAAAAATGAGGTTAGTATAGCAGCCGAAGCCAGCACACATTAAGCAAAGAATCCTCAACAAACAATTATATTATCTCACCACAACATTACACTGTAATAGAGAACTCATTTATTTATTAAATTAAATAAATAAATAAAAAGATAATGTTAATCTAAATTTGTCATTTTATGATTAGACTCACTCTAATATCTGCAAAACCCCTGTAGCACGGAAAGACATACTCAGAGAGTCGCTACTATATATAAATTCCAACCCTCCCAAAATTACAACTTTCTCAACTTTAAAAAATAAATTTAAAAAACCCAAAACCCAACGGAAAAAAACTCCGGCGTTATTTTCCGTCGGAAAAATTGAAAGAAGAGAGAGAAACAACGAAAATGGTGTTACAGAGGAATATTGGTAACAATAATAATAACAAACATCAATTTCAACAACCATTGCTCTGCTTTCTCTCGTTAATCCGTCATTCTCTCTCTTCTTCTTCGCCGAAGAAATCTGGCATCTCCGCCGCCGCCGCCGGTGGTAGTGTCTTCATCATTCGCCGGAATAGTTACCGTTATCGTTATCATCATCATCGTCATCGCCGGATTTTTTTGCCTGTTTTGTTTGGTTTGCTCTTTGTTTTTGTTGTCTCTTTCTCTCTCCTCTCTCTTCCTTTTTCCGACCGCCGCCATAACCACCACCACCTTGTACTCATTCTCTCTCTTTTTTTACTTTTTTTTTATAAATTGTTTTTTTTTGTCTGATGAATTAATTTTATTTCAGGATGATGATTTGATTGATGACTATACGAAGGTAAGTTGATTGCAACACGTTTCATAGTTTTAATATAATTGTAGTTTTTTATTTTTATTTTTGAAATTTTGAAATTTGTTTGTGAAAAATGGATTACAGAGTGGCGTTGTAAGTCTACGACGTGATCTTTGGAGCACGAATTCGTCGGGATTGTACTATGGTTGCAGCAATGTCAGCAATAAATTTCTCTGTAAAATCTCACTTTCTCTCTCCTCCTCTTAATATGGAAAATTTTTAGTTGTTACATTTTTTATTTGGTAATAAAATCAATAGACAATAGCTCTACTTGATTAATTTCGTGATTATTAACTAGTTTCATAATTTTAAACTCAAATTTTAATTAAATTTTCACTGTTTATTGATTTTGATTTTAAGTTTTTAATTTCTGTTTAATTTAGCGGCGGATGAGAAGACTGAACCTGATAGATACTTGTTAATTTCGACAAGCGGAGGATTAAATCAACAAAGAACAGGGGTGAGTTTTTTTATTTTATTTTTGCAATTTATTTAATTACTGATAATCGCCGCATGTCTAGAAGTGTCCAAACAGGAAGAACTTTTAGGGACGATGAATAATTTTACATGTACGTAAAGATGATCATGTTGTTAATCTATTGTAACCAGTAATAATTAGTAATATTCGGTAAGTAGTTAGGTTGATGTGAGAGTGAGACGAATGCCATATTAATATTAGTGGTTAATTGGTTATCAAAAGTCAATTATAAATACCTAAAGTTTTACGTGTGCAATGTACAAAAAAAGGTTTTTGTATGCAATCATAGTCTGAAATTAGTATGGAGTACCTCTTTTGGTTGGTATAAGAGGATAGCGTGTAAGGAGCTTCAATTTTGCTTAAGGAATTGGTTATTCTAGCTGCTTTTCAATAAAAGGAGTTTAAAGTTTTGTATGATATCACATATTTGGAAGTTAAGTACTTCCTCAGTCCGTAATCGGCTTCTTAGTTACAATATCAATGTAACTAAGGGAAAATGGGGCCATTGGAATGTGACGGAAAATGAAAGTTGTAATGGTAATAGAGGATTTTTTCTTGCCAAAGCGGAATAAAATAGATTAGGATGATCTCAAACAACGGACTTAAACGAAAAGTAAAAGGTCTTTGAAGAGCGGAGAATGTGCTACAGTTTGCATCAGTCATTTTTGTTGTTTATTTGAGCTTGTCTTATTTTTAGATTCGTTCATGTTTACAGTTGTTTTCGAGTCTTAAGCCATCAAAGACTAAGGTTAAACGAATAAGATTAGAATTGTTGGGACCATCCCATTTTGGATACTTCTTCAATTTTTGAATTTCTAGAACACATGGGTAGGGCATGCTATTTTCGCGCTATTGACAATCCTGTACAATAATTGTCACATTAGAGGAAGGGATCAACTTTTGGCTAGTCTTCTAATCAGATAACCTAACCTAAAATTTCTATTAAAACCTGTTGTTAATCATAGTCCCCACCAAACCTTGTCTTGACTAGCTCATTGGATGCTTATGCTTCTTAAGGAAGTACAGCCCGATGATATTATAGGATAATAAACCATGTAGCTTACTATGACACTATTTACTCAATTTGCTCCAGTTTTAAGAAAAGAATTGTCATCAGAATCTTTCTTATCAAATCCATTGTGCTCTTTTCATTAATCATGCTTTGGATATGCTTTAGCACTTGAACTGCAATTTTGCTAACAAATATGAACTGTTTCATGCTCATAATGGAACAGATTACAGATGCCGTTGTTGCTGCCTATATCTTAAATGCCACACTTATCGTTCCCAATCTGGACCAGAAATCTTACTGGAAGGATGCAAGGTTTGTTTTGACTCTTTCCTAGCATTTACCAATCAACTGATTAGTTCATTGGCCTAGAAAGGAAAACAAACATCAGCACTGTCTTCTTATGTCTTACTCTATCCGCTTTATTGTGCATGCAGTGATTTTGGCGACATATTTGATGTTGATTGGTTTATATCATTTCTTTCGAATGATGTCAAAATTCTAAAGCAGCTTCCAATGGTCGGAGGAAAGGTTCTTACTCCAGTCCGCACTCGAGTTCCTAGGAAGTCCAGTCCTAAATACTACCTGAATCGAATCTTACCCCTTCTCAAAAAGAAGCATGTGAGTATTGTTTTCTGCAAAGTGTATTTCTCTTTGGAGGAAATATGTCAACTTCTCTGATGTAAAGTTCCCCTTCCCATTTCAATTATGTGATTTGACAACATGGAACATACTTAATTGATCACTCAAGTAGTGTGTGTGTGTGTGTGCGCGCGCATAAACTATTTTATGAAGGAGCATTTTCATAATCAATATAGTTTGTGCGTTGTTACTTCTATATTGAAGTGATTGGGTTATGTTATAACTTAAAAGTTTGTAGCCTTTCGTGTGTGCTGTTGAGTTAATGGATTTTGATGACTGACTTCTTTGCTGTGCAGGCTGTACAGCTGACAAAATTTGATTACAGGCTATCAAATGTCCTGGAGACAGATTTACAAAAGCTAAGATGTAGGGTTAATTACCATGCTTTAAAGTTCACTGATCCCATTGTTGAGATGGGAAGAAAGCTAGTTGAAAGAATGAGGATGAGAAGTGAACATTTTATTGCCCTGCACTTGAGGTAAGATTGTAGCAAATCTTTAGAATTCTGTTATAGTGCTATATCTGATTCTATTTTCAAATTCATAAATACGTTTATTGTGACCGTCAGTTATATTATGAAAAGGATGTTGCTCCTAAAGTCATAATTGCCAACCAGATTGCACATTTCTATGTTAATGTTAAAAAAATTTCCCCCTTTTTAGTGAATCTGCCCCTTCTAATTCTATATCTGTTTTATTATATACTTTGTATTAAAATATGTGTTTGTATTTGTTCTGTCCTACTGCATAACTGCTAGACATTGTTTGTTGATAGAGTCATTAGTGGTCCTTGAACAAATTCCGAACTTCACTGTAAGAATAGTTTAGGTCATACAATTACTCATTAGTGGCCCTTGACCAAATTCTGAATCTCACTATAAAAATAATGTAGGTCAATCCGTTGATATATATATATATCTTATGCCACAGGTTTGAGCCTGACATGCTTGCATTCTCGGGTTGTGATTATGGTGGTGGAGAGAAAGAAAAGGCAGAACTTGGTGCGATACGAAAACGGTGGAAAACATTACATGTGAGTTTCAATGTGCATATATCTGTTTGTACATGCAGAAATTAGCTAAACCATTTCTAAGAAAACCATTGAAAATGTGGACAGAAAAGTAACCCTGACAAGCAGAGAAGGCAGGGAAAATGCCCACTCACTCCAGAGGAAGTTGGTCTCATGCTGAGAGCACTTGGCTACAACAGTGATGTACATATATACGTGGCATCTGGAGAGGTCTATGGTGGAGAAGATACTTTGGCACCTCTTAGGGCGCTCTTCCCTAATTTCCATTCTAAAGACACTCTAGCCAGTCAGGAGGAGCTGGCACCATTTGCACCATATTCTGCTCGGATGGCTGCTTTAGATTTCATCGTTTCTGATGAGAGTGATGTATTTGTTACCAATAACAATGGTAACATGGCCAGGATTTTAGCAGGAAGAAGGTATGTATTCTACCTCAAATCAACTTTGCTAACAACAGTGTAATCATGCTAGTCACTATGGAGATAATTAAGTTGTTGAAAAGCATGCAACTAAAACATGTATTTCTCTGGTTCAGGAGATACTATGGTCACAAGCCTACTATACGCCCAAATGCTAAAAAGATATCCCGTCTGTTCTTGAACCTGAACAATATGACGTGGGAAGGGTTTGCTTTGGGAATTAGAACTCATCAGGTCGGCTTTATGGGTGAACCAAAAGAGGTAAAACCAGGAAAAGGCGAGTTCCATGAAAATCCTTCGTCTTGCATTTGTGAAAGCTCCTTGCCCAACATTCCAGTCTATGATCTTCAGGATAATCCAGCCACCATGTATCAGAAAGGGAAAGAATATAGCACAGGAGGTTTCGATACAGGTGAAATAAATGATTACCAGAATATTGAGGATGAACAAGAATTGGCTGATCAAGAAGATTTAGATAATGAAAATAACCTCCCAGAAAGAGAACTGCCTCGCGGCATTAATAGGGATCCAAATACTATCCTGACATCGGATCAACCAGAACTAGAGGAGTTCCTTTCAGATTAAATGGCTCAGAAAAATTACCTTTCTTAGCAGCTTCTCTGTTCTTCACCTGGTCCTATCGTAACTGAATTTGTCTTGCATTGATTTGAGCAGCAGACAGCAGCGACGTGTGAATACAACTTGTACAGAATGGCCTTTCCTGGCTAGCACAGAAGAAAGTTCCAGTTTCGACTTCCCGGTTTCTGTAAATGACAAAGTGTTTGAGCCTCAAGATAAGCTTGTACATTAGAGGCAACTGAATATACAAAGTGAAAATTTTCTCAGGGCAGTTTTTTTTTTTTACCAATTTTTTGCTTTTAGTTCTGGTCTAGTGTTAAAAGGGGTTATACTTTTCTCAAGGTAGCATTTGATACAGGATAGACTAGCAAAGAGAAATTATAGGACTTACACAGAATTTTATTATTTTGGAAAACATACATGTAAATCAGTACATGTTTATAATCTTTATATACAAAAATATATCGGTGTGAAAATTACTCCGTACTACATTAAGCTTTTTTTTTTTTTTTTTTTTTTTTTTTTTTCCTCTCTCTCTCTCTTTTGTCTCTAACTTATTTTGATGATTAATACTCCGTATTATTTGAAAGATCACTCTTAACATTATTATGAAGGGCCACTAAACCTTCAATATTATTAGGCTATTTTGTTATTTTAATACTATGTTAATGTTAATATTTGTATTTTCCCTCAAAAAATAAAATGTTAATATTTGTATTTTATTTTATGTCTTCTCTAATGCACAATTTGATTATTTATGCATTCAAAAATAAAAACATACGGAATACTTTGTATGGAGTATGGAGTATAGCACTATATTTAGAAACATTCACATTGAAACCAATTAAACACATCTCACAAAATATACATTTTTAATATTTAAATTACCAACATAAGTTTATTTTTGGATTAGATAATTCGTATAAGACCCGATCAAACCCAAAAATGACCCAATTAAAAAAATCAACCTGAATATTTGAATAGACACAATGATATAACATGATCCAAACCCCAATTAAAATAACTCGACTAGACCCTGTTGAAGCCGACCTAGTGATCCGAATTAACACTTCCAAGAGAGAAAAAAACGTAATCCAGAAAGAATAGAAAGAGAGGGACGTGGCAAGACTAATATCAGTATATGTGATGACCCTTTTTCGTCCACTTGTTTCTTCTTCTCTTCTCTTCTCTTCTCCAAATTCCAACTGTTCAGAACAACTACTCATCTCTGCAGATAACCTGAAGAATCGAAGAGAGAGCAACAATGGCGGGAAGACTTCCTGCACAAGTAGCTACTCCACCGGAGCTCCACCACCATTTAGGGTGCCCCAATTTGTTGTCTTGGAAATCCAATCTTAGCTTTCAAAACTTCAGAATTTCTCCTTCTTTTTCTCTCTCCTCTCTTTCTGGTACTTCTTACTCCATTTCCTTTTAGTTTCCTTGCTATTATTGTTTGAATAATTGAATGTTTCATCTCAATTTCGTTCAATTGTAAATGAATAGCAAAATGTGGTAGTCGGGATTGATTATATGTTTTTGTTTTAGAATTGAGAATGCGAATTTTATATTAATTATTCCCTTTATTCTTATTTACATAGTTGACATTGTCTTAATTTAGTATATTTAAATTTTGTGGATGAGAGTGAGGATAGCTGCTCGGTTGGTTAGAGCTTCCCTCCCGGTTCTAGAAATCCGGGGATTGATTCTCATCACCCGTCCTTATGGCTCTCTAAACACGCAAACCAATTGTCTATTGTGCTGTGTGGGTTGTTATATTTGGCTCATGTGGATTATTGGTTAAGTGTTGATCATTATGTTTTGATTCTCATGGTGTTTTTTTATAGTGGTCGTTTGAAATAGTATTTTTAATGATTAAATAATATGACTATCATAGTCATATTTCGAACGACTACTATAAAGTTTTCAAACTCTCAGTCTCTTGGTAATTTTAAGGTGTGCACTGGAGTGCTGTTAGATACCAAAATTCACTCTAAGTTGTAGTTGGAGAGACGGAATGGGAATCAAAGCTGTTATAATGATGTTATAGACATTGATCGTGGACTCGTGGGTGTTAGCTTATAAGCATTACAGCAGAAGAAGATGAAGTAAAATCATGAATTGTTGGGATTTACTTGAACTTTAAAATGCAAGAGAGTGCTTTAATATCAGGCTCAATACGAGTGACATTTATTTCAGGAAGATCTTATGCCCCGCCCTTAATTAAGTGCACCGCGCAGCCAGCTGCATCGACTAATTATGCTCCTGGTACACCTGTCAGGCCGACTAGTATATTGGTTGTTGGTGCTACTGGGACTCTTGGAAGGCAAGTTGTAAGACGGGCACTGGATGAAGGCTATGATGTACGCTGTCTTGTGAGGCCTCGACCTGCTCCTGCTGATTTCCTTCGTGACTGGGGTGCAATTGTTGTCAATGTAAGACACTCTATTTCATATAATAAATGACGTGCCTATCTTTTGGAAGGACTCACTTTTCTGAGTTTTCCCCAGGGAAGACAAGGTCCTCCCTACCCTCCCCCCAAAAAACAATTTGGTGCTGGAACTTATATTGGAGTTTCTTTCTTATTAAAATACATAATTTAGTCAGCACAACCTAATTTTTAAGTTATGCTCCTATTCTTTGTACACTGATAACAGATTAATGTTTGCACAGGCAGACCTGAGCAAACCAGAGACAATACCAGCAACACTGGTGGGGGTTCATACGATTATCGATTGTGCCACTGGACGTCCTGAAGAGCCTATTAAAACAGTATGTATCCAAGGGTATTACCAACTGTTTATTTGCTCGTGAAACAAGAATTTTGGTGCCTTTGGAGTTGACTGTTGATTTACTCATCCCGTATTAAAATATTTTTCCCAAAATCTGGACTGAATTAGGATTTTCTTGCCAGACGCAACTCCCTTCCTTTCTCTGCTTAGTGGTCTAGTTTGTTGATTTAAATTTTTTTACATGCGTATTGAGTAAAGGGATATTAGGCACTTTTAAAAGCAATACTATCCTGTTCGGCTTTGTGTCTAGTAACAGACAGATAAATAGCCGTGTTTAAGAAATTGGCATCTAATGTACGAAGCTTGTAATTAGCTGTAGAGTCTGATGTTTGACGTCATGAGCTATCATTTACCCCTGCATACCTTTATGGACTTTCAACCTTAACTGAGTTTCTTTGTCAATTTAGGTAGATTGGAAAGGCAAAGTTGCTCTCATACAATGTGCAAAAGCAATGGGAATCCAAAAGTATGTGTTCTTTTCTATTCACAACTGTGACAAGCATCCTGAAGTACCTTTAATGGAGATCAAGTATTGCACTGAGAAATTTCTTCAAGATTCTGGATTGAACCATATTACAATAAGATTATGCGGCTTCATGCAGGTAAAGTCAGGAAAGAGTAAAGCTTAAGTGGATGATTTAATTTTCATATGGCAAGATTATAAATTAACTGGATGGCTTTAATTTTCAAGTAATTGTTTACGTAGAATTAGTTTGGTCTCTGTACCTTTGACACACCAAGTATTATACTATTATTCTTTATCTAAAACTTGGACATAGAAAAGCATTTGGTAGAAATTAGCCCTAGTGACATTTTTGGGACTATTATCTCTTCCCCTTACTATTACGAAATTTGAAATATTGATAGAATATTATTTTTACTTGTGGTTTTTTAAAAATGAGTTATTTTTGGCAAGAATACTGTAAAAATGTATTCCTCTACATCTTTTTAAACCTGGCTTTGGAAGTGCAACTGTGCAAGTGCCCATACCAAGTTGAATTTCGCAGCCATCGGTATTAACTTTGCCACTGTTCTTCCAATTTTCAGGGCCTTATTGGGCAGTATGCTGTGCCAATATTGGAAGAGAAGTCTGTCTGGGGAACTGATGCCCCGACAAGGATAGCTTATATGGACACTCAGGTCTTTTTACAGAGGAGTCGATTACTTGATTCCACATCTCTTGTAGTCTACTAGACAAGATTCTTTTGATCTTTTTAACTTAATTAACCTTATTTCCCAGGATATAGCTCGACTAACATTCATTGCCTTGCGCAATGAGAATCTTAAAGGGAAGCTTCTCACGTTTGCTGGACCTCGTGCATGGACAACACAAGAGGTACTTAAATTATGACTTTGGTTTTAGGACATTAGTTGTCTGTTGAGTTTCTTCATCAATAGTCCTAGTTGGTGATTCTTTATTTGTACTCTCATCCTTGCTTGCGGTAGCATTTCCTTCTTTTTCTCCCCATTCTCTTTTCAAATTACGCATTTTTATACAATATCACCCTAAAGAAAATTGCATAATAAGAAACTCTATTGTTGTTGAATAAATCGGTTGGACTCAAATCCTCAATGATATGAATGAGTTCCTTTTAAAAATTTTATGTGGGATAATATTTACTGAAAAGGTCTTGCTGTTACTAGGTGATAACGCTATGTGAGAGGCTAGCAGGACAAGATGCCAATGTGACAACAGTCCCTGTTTCCGTCTTAAAAACAACTCGCCAGCTGACTCGATTCTTTCAGTGGACTAGTGACGTTGCCGATAGATTGGCCTTTTCAGAGGTAAAAACATTTCTGGGGTAATTTTATTATTGTTTGTCAGTAAGGATGGCAACAATGCAACATGGACCTATCTTGCTCAGTTGCTCTCACTTATTCTGGTGGATTCAAATGCATGGGAACTTGTAGATGATTCTATTTGTCTTTCACTTTCGTTCTTATTTCTTTAATCGTATTATCTGATAAAAGGGTTTAATAGACTCCACAAACATGGAAATACTCACCAAATGGGGAATAAAAAAATACATAAATTAATGGAGATAACTGATAAGATCAGCTATTACTTGAAATCAGTACTGAGGCAATTAACCACCTACTTGGAAACTGTTAGGTACTCTCGAGCGACATGGTGTTCTCAGCTCCAATGGCAGAGACCTATCAACTTCTTGGTGTGGATCCAAAAGACATCGTTACTTTGGAAAAATACTTGCAAGATTATTTCACCAACATTTTGAAGAAATTGAAAGACCTTAAAGCACAATCGAAGCAATCTGATATCTTTTTCTGAAGCAAGCTCTTGCATTTTCATCAATCACACGGACTCAGTTTTCACTTCTTTTGTTGTACAGCAGAGATGTCTCATTTTTAATGGAATCTAAATTCTTTGAATTTTTCACTTCATTTTTCATACATTTTGTACCAATACAAACAGCTCTAATTGTAATTACAATATATAGGATAAGCTTCTCTAAAACCAATATTGTTGCCTTCTTTTATACTGGTAATCTATACATGTTTCTTGTACTCTATTAGAAACATGTCATATACTAGTACTATAGTCTGAACATGTTTCTAAAATAACAAAATGCCTTTGACCAATACTCCGTAGAAAACTTTCATGATTCTGAAGTTTGCCAGAAAGGGTTAAAGGGTAAGGACACTCATATTATGTTTAAATAAAATCAGGTTTAAAGGTTTTCATAAAATCAAAATTTGACGACGAAGTAATGAAATAAGTTATAGCAACCATATCTGGGAGTAAATGAATGGAGAAGATGAATTTAAACAACAAATATGTACAGGTTAATGTGTGTTGATAAGGATGATAGACATGTTTCTAAGAATGCTTGGATCAGTTGGTAACAATTGTTTTAACCTAATCGAACGTCGCAAGTGTAAGCCCTGCAAATGTAGCAACACTTGGGACTTATCCTAACTCGAATTTGGATTAAACAGTCTAGTAGACTTTGAAACACTGGGAGAGATGCCGAACAAAAAGAAAGAAAAAAAAAAGTTGTAAATCTTCAATCCATCCTTCAGTATGTCCAAGATAACAATGATCATAATTTAGTAACTTCTGCCCCAATACGACCACTTCTTAGCTGGCTTTCCAGAAGCGAAGCAAAGGGTACCTGAGAAATGGTATAAATCACTTCCACTATATTAAGACAGCAAAAGAACACTATAATTAAATGAGCACCAATGTAGAAAAAAAAATTATCAGTTCTAAGATCAGACGAGTCACTACAATGCAGGAGCTTAGAATCAGCCATAAAGTTGTCTAAAGAAATGACAAGTTCCAGTGCTGGCTGATCAAATGGTGAGCACAAAGTCTTCGCGGCCCCTATTTCTCCTTTTGTCCGCACTTTGACCTCTTTCTCAACTTCCTGAAGAGACGAAAAAACAATCTAAGTTGCAGCACTTTCAAAATCACATTTGGTGGATCTTGAGCTTTTTTTTTTTTTTTTTTTTTTTTTTGGGGTGGGGGGGGGGGGGGGGGGACACCATGTATTAGATTTTACTTAAGTTGAACCAATTAGATTACATCAAACCATGCAAAGAACATGATCAAGATGATTATTCCAATCATGAGATAGTAACATCTATACTAACTTGAAAAAATCAGAAGATTGAAGATAAAGTGAACTTTCAGAAAATATGAACTCAAATATTAAGTAAAATCCATGTTACCTCTTCATCACACCAAGGAGCTAATATAAGTTTCTTTTGTGCCAATGCTTCAACAAACTCTTCCCACGTCCTAACTTGTTTAACACAGGCATCTCTCTTCTCCTTTGCAACATCAAACAAGTTTTGTTGAATTGTGTCCAATAATTCTCTCACCTGATCGACCAGATTTGTCATTGGCAAATCCTTCTTGGCCGAATTGTCACGTCGAACAGCACGAGCCTAAAAGTTGATAAATTTGTTAGCTTCTAAAATTATGAAACTGACAAGAAAACTGTTGTGGAAATGGCTGTATTAGAACCACAAGTGATGAACCACTACTAAAGTTATCCTGGGAAATCAAGTTGTCAATATTTTTACAAAAATAAAAATGAAAATAAAAAATAAAAAAATAAAAAGAAAGCAGACATTTTAACAAGGCACTCCTTTGCCACCAAGACATGAGTTAAAAAGGCCAAAGGGACTAGTACCAGTACTTTGAACGATTTGATTTCAGTGATGATATAGAAAGGAAAAAGAAAGAAAAAAAAAAGGGAGCAGTGCTAGTATTCATTGCCCCTCAAACAAACATTTTGTCACAGCAGCTATGCAACCATGCTGAAGTTGGTCCAATGGGGCCATTTACCATTCAGAATACCTCACAAGTCACAACCATATCAGAACATTGACCACAAAATCATAATTCTACACAATAAATCAATACAATGTTCTTCTCAAAAACACAAAAATCCATAACTTTCTGTAACAAATAGTCCATTACATTACTGCACCAGCCACCACAAGCTGTCACAAAAACAAATCAAATTGAAGTTTATTCAATTCCATCCCAAGGGAACTTGAAAGATTTTTGTTCATTTACAATGCTATTTCAGATCCTCAGTGACCAAATATCTGTAATGTTTGCACACTATTCCAGCAAAAAAAGGGCAGAGAGACTTGGCACATAGAGCTGTCAATTCGGGTAAACAAGTCGGCTTTGAATCGGGTAAGAGTGAGTCGGGTCAACTCGGGTCAGGTCAAGTCAATTCGGATTAATTCCATAGTCTAAGCGGGTCGGGTTTGGGTTGGGTCATGCTTGAGTCAGGTTATGTCGGGTCATACTTCTAATCGGGTTTGGATCGGGTTAATAATAGGTCGGGTTACATTCGGGTTGAGTGAACAATAGGTAAGGTTTAATTCAGGTTTTCACGGGTTAAAACGGGTTAGGGTAATTCTCGGGTTCGAGTCGGGTTCGGTTCAAGTCAATAATCGGTGCAAGTTCTAAACCGGTAAATTGGTCGTTTAACAACAAATTGGATGGTTCCACACACCCAATTGGACTCCCGAAAGATATTAAGGACCATGATAAACATTTCGCCAATTTCCGTGCAAAAAAAAAGTCCAAAGATTCCAAAACTGAAGGCTAATATCCACGCTTTTTGAGAAATTTTGGAGGTTTCGGACCCCAGTGTAGAAAAGTCTTAATATTTTAGAGGACATATCTCGGGGTCATATAATGCCGTTTGGAACCATATATGATCATTATATGTTGTCATAATTGTTCGTAGTATGCTTAATTAATGAAATCCGTGCAAGTGATAAACCGGTAAATTGGCCGTTTAAAGGCAAATTGGATGGTTCCACCATCCCAATTGGACTCCCGGAGGATATTAGGGACCATGGTAAATATTTCGACAATTTTAATTTCCGGGCGAAAAAGTCAAAAACTCCCTAAATTGAATACTAATATATGAACATTATTTGTTGTCATAAATGTTCGTGGTAGGCATGAGTTAATGAAATTGGTGCAAGTTGTAAACCGGTAAATTGGTCGATTAAAGGTAAATTGGATGGTTCCACCGACCCAATGGGACTTCCGGACGGTATTAGAGATCATGAGAAACATTTCGGCGATTTTTATTTCCGAGCAAAAAATAAAGTCAAAAATTTCAAAATTGAAGGCTAATATCCACGCTTTTTTTAGAAATTTTAGAAGATTCAAGACCCGGTGTCGAAAAGTTTTCAAATTCTAGGAGATACATCTCGGATCATATAATGCCATTTGGAACCATTTATGATCATTATATGTTGTCATAAATGTTCATAGTATACTTTAGTTAATGAAATCCGTACAAGTTGTAAACCGGTAAATTGGCCGTTTAAATACAAATTGGATGGTTCCACCAACCCAATTGGAAGGAGACCACGGTAAACATTTCCTGGCAAAAAAAGTCAAAAAGTTCCAAAATTAAAGACTAATATCCACATTTTTGAGAAATTTTGGAGGTTTCGAGGTCCGGTGTCGAAAAGTCTTAAAATTCTAGAAGATACATCTCAAGGTCATATAATGCCGTTTGGAACCATATATGATCATTATTTGTTGTCATAAATGTTCGTGGTAGGCTTGATTGCTTGAATTAATAAAAATCGATGCAAGTTGTAAGACGGTAAATTGGTTGTTTAAATGCAAATTAAATGGCTCCACTCATCCAATGGGACTCCCGAATAGTATTAGGGATCATAGTAAACATTTCAACAATTTTTATTTCCGGGCGAAAAAAAAGTCAAAAATTTCAAAAATGAAGCCTAATATCCACGATTTTTGAGAAATTTTTGAGGATTCGGGGATCGGTGTTGAAAAGTCTTGAAATTCTAGGAGATACATCTCGGGGTCATATAATGTCGTTTGGAACCATTTATGATCATTACATGTTGTCATAAATGTTCGTGGTAGGCTTGATTTAATGAAATCGGTGCAAGTTATAAACCTGTAAATAGGTTGTTTAAAGGCAAATTGGATGGTTCCACCCACCCAAATTTAACTCACAAAGGGTATTAGGGATCATGGTAAACATTTCGGCAATTATTATTTCTAGGAGAAAAAAGTCTAAAAATTCCGAAAATAAAGGCTAATATCCACGCTTTTTGAAAATTTTTGGAGGTTTCAGGGCCCTGTATCGAAAAGCCTTGAGATTCTAAGGAATACATCTCGGGGTCATATACTGTTGTTTGGAACCATATATGATCATTATTTGTTGTCATAAATGTTCGTGGTAGGCTTGAGTTAATGAAATTCGCGCAAGTTGTAAATCGGTAAATTGGCCGTTTAAAGGCAAATTGGATGGTTCCACCCACCTAATTGGACTACCGAAGGGTATTAAGGACCATGGTAAACATTTCTACAATTTTTATTTTCGAGCCAAAAAAAGTCAAAAATTTCAAAAATTGAAGGCTAATGTCCAAACTTTTTGAAATTTTTTGGAGGTTTAGGGACCTAGTGTCGCAAAGTTTTGAGATTTTGGGGAATACATATGGGGGTCATGTAATGCCGTTTGGAACCATATATAATCATTATATGTTGTCATAGATGTTCGTGGTAGGCATGAGTTAATGAAATCCGTGCAAGTTGTAAACCGGTAAATTGGTCGTTTAAAAGCAAATTGAATGGTTCCACCCACCTAATTGAACTCCCGGAGGATATTAGGGACCATGCTAAACATTTCGACAATTTTTGTTTCCATGCGAAAATAAGTCAAAAAATTCCAAAATTGAAGGCTTATAATCTCGTTTTTTAAAAAATTTGGAAGGTTTCGGAGCCGAGTGTAGAAAAGTCTTGATATTTTAGGGAATACATCTCGTGGTCATATAATGTCGTTTAACACTATATATGATCATTATTTGTTGTCATAAATGTTTGTGTTAGGCTTGAGTTAATGAAATCGGTGCAAGTTGTAAACCGGTAAATTGGTCGTTTAAAGGCAAATCGGATGGTTCCACCCATCCAATCGGACTCCCTAGAGGTAATAGAGACCATAGTAAACATTTTAGCAATTTTTATTTCCGTGCGAAAAAAAAATTCAAAAAATTTCAAAATTGAAGGCTAATATCCATGGTTTTTGAGAAATTTTGAAGGTTTTGGGGCCAGTGTCGAAAAGAAATAAGATTTTAGGAGATACATCTCGAGGTCATATAATGTTTGGAACCATAAATGATCATTATATGTTGTCATAAATGTTCGTGGTAGGCTTGAGTTAATGAAATCAATGCAAGTTGTAAACCGTTAAATTGGCCGTTTAAAGGAAAATTGGATAGTTCTATCTACCCAATTGGTCTCCCGGAGGGTATTAGGGAGCATGATAAACATTTCGGCAATTTTTATTTCAAGTTTAAAAAGTCAAAAAATTCAAAAAATTAAAGGCTAATACCACCTTTTTGAGAAATTTTGGAGTCTTCGGAGCTCAGTTTCTAAAAGTCTTGAAATTATGAGGAATACATCCCGGTGTCACATAATGTCGTTTGGAACCATATGTAATAATTATTTGTTGTCATGAATGTTCGTGGTAGGCTTGAGTTGATGAAATCGATGCAAGTTGTAAACCGGTAAATTGGTTTTTTAAAGGAAAATTAGACGGTTCCACCCAACCAATTGGACTGTTGGAGGGTATTCAGGACCACGGTAAACATTAATGCAATTTTTATTTCCGAGCGAAAAAAAGTTAAAAATTCCAAAATTGAAGGATACTATCCACGCTTTTTGAAAAATTTCGAAGGTTTCGGGGCCCGGTTTAGAAAAGTCTTGATATTTTAGGAGATACATCTCGAGGTAATAAAATGTCGTTTGGAACCATATATGATCATTATATGTTGTCGTAAATGTTTGTAGTAGGCTTAAGTACTTAAGTTAATGAAATCCGTGCAAATTGTAAACCGGTAAATTAGCCTTTTAAAGGCTATTTGGACGGTTCCATCAACCTAATTGGACCCTGGATGGTATTAGGGACAATGGTAAACATTTCTGTAATTTTTACTTCTAGAAGAAAAAAAGTCAAAAAAATCAAAAATTGAAGGCTAATATCCACGCTTTTTGAGAAATTTTTGAGGACCCAGTACCCGGTGTCAAAAAGTCTTGAAATTCTAGGGGATACACCTCGGGGTCATATAATGCCGTTTGGAACCATTTATGATCATTATTTGTTGTCATGAATGTTCGTTGTAGGCTTGAGTTGATGAAATCGGTGCAATTTGTAAACCGGTAAATTGGTCGTTTAAAAGCAATTTGGATGGTTCCACCCACCCAATGGAACTCTAAGACGGTATTAGGGGTCATGGGAAACATTTCGGCAATTTTTATTTCCATGCGAAAAAAAGTCAAAAAATTTCAAAATTGAAGGCTAATATCCACGCTTTTTGAGAAATTTTGGAGGATTCGGAGCCCGGTATCGAAAAGTCTTGAAATTCTAGTGGATATATCTCGGGGTCATATAATGTCATATGGAACCATTTATGATGATAAATTGTTGTCATAAAGGTTCGTATTATGCTTGATTTAATGAAATCCGTGCAAGTTGTAAATCGGCTGTTAAAGGCAAATTGGATAGTTACACTCACCCATTTGGACTCCCGGAGGGTATAAGGGACCATGGTAAACATTTGGAAAAATTTTATTTCTTGGCAAAAATAAATGAAAAAATTCCAAAGTTGAAGTCTAATATCCATGCTTTTTTTAGAAATTTTGGAGGTTTCGGAGCCCGATGTTTAAAAGTCTTATGATTTTAGGGAATACATCTCGGGGTCATATAATGTCGTTTGGAACCATATATTATCATTATTTGTTGGCATAAAGGTTTGTGGTACGCTAGAATTAATGAAATCAGTGCAAGTTGTAAAACAGTAAATTGGTCGTTTAATGGCAAGACGGATCGTTCTACCCACCTAATTGGAATCCCGAAGGGTTTTAGGGATCATGGTAAACATTTCGCCAATTTTTATTTACGGGCGAAAAAAAGTTTC